AAAGAGGGAGAGGGTCAGAAGGGGAGGGCTTGGAGAAGGGAATCATAGAGTCATGGAATGTTGAGGGGTTGGGATGGAGTTTGGAGAACATCCAGTCCCAACCTCCTGCCCTGGGTAGGGATAGTTCCCACCAGAGTGGGTTGCTCAAGGCTTTGGCCAAGCTCATTGTCCTTGTCAGGGCTCACTCAGCACTTCCTGCAGTCATGGAACCATCAAGGTTGGAGGAGAACTCCAAGGGCATCAAGTCCAACTCTGGACCTGTCACTGCTGTGACCTCCAAACCCTACCCAGGTCCTCCAGGGCCACATCAGACACCTCTGAGACACCTCCAGGGGTGGTGACTCCACCACCTCCATGGGCAATTCCCTATTCCAAGGCCATTCCCTGTAGTTCTCTCCCTGCAGCCATGGCAGGGGAGACACCTCCCACCCCTCTCCAACCCTGGCAGGAGAGTTGTGGAGAGCCAGGAGGTCACCCCTGAGCCTCTTCTCAAGGCTCAACAGACCCAACTCCCTCAGCCCTTCCTCATGTGCTCTAGACCTTTGATGAGATTTGTTGTACATGTGTCCTAGACCTTCCATGACCTCACAGGTCATGTATCCACCTGTGCCACCCCCAAGTTCCTTGGTTCCCAAGAGCTCTCCAAGCACTCACCTCTTTCCCCTCTACCTTCAGAGTGTTTCTGTGTTCATGGTGAGAGTTTTCCACACGGTAGTTTTGGACATCTCATCCGAAATGTTGATCTCGGAGGGATCAGCCCTGGAAGAAAGATGTTTTCTTTTTCCATGAGAATTCCCAAGGATGGACCTGAGGCCTCCAAGTGTAGCTGCAGCCGGAGGAACTGGAGTTCTTGAAGACCCAGAGCTCAGGGGATGAGGAGGGTTGGGCTGAGGAGGATTTGGGGAATCCTAAGCTGCTCCTGGTGTGGATCATCCCTGTGATCCCTCAAGTTGGAAGCAGGAAGTCATAAAACCATGGAGGAGTCAAGTTTTGGGGATAAAGTGTGAGGAATCTGGGAATCAGCCCTGGATGGGCATAGACACAGCTCCGTGGGAGGCTCTTGCTGTTCTCCCATCCTGGAGCAAATTCCCAAGGCACTTCTGGCATGGATCATCTCTGTGATTTTTTTTCCCTGAGTGGGAATGCAGCTTCAGGTGGATAAAAATCGACCCAAACCCCTTGAATTTCATCCTGCCAGGAATTCTGGGATGTGGAGAGGCTTTACCTGTCACTGCTTTGCTTTGGGACATCCACCTTGCTGCTCTTCCCCAGTTTGAGCTGGACGGAGTTGGCAGCTGCAGCTTCCATCATTTTCTGGGATTCCTGCAGAGGGATAAGGCAAATCCTTTCTCCACAAGCCAAGAAAAACATGGAATTCTGCCCTGTCCTCCTCATCCTGTGGCTCCTCTAGCTCTAGCAGCAGGTAAACCATCCAAGCTCTTGGATCTGTTGGATCTACTCCTGATCTCCCCTCAGCATCTCTTTCCCAGAGGATTTGGTGCTGCTCCATCCCTGGAGTGTTCTGGGACAGGTTGGATGGAGTTTGAGGCCACCTGGGCTGGTGGGATGTTGTCCCTAGATGGAACTGAATGAGGTCTCAGGTCCTTCCCACCCAACCCATCCCATGATTTCCCTCTCAGCTGGGATAGGCTGAGGGAATCTCCCAGCCCAGGGGAGACCTCCAGCCCCTCCTGACCAACCTTACCTCTCCTTCTTTGGCTTCATTTTTGGCATCATCCAACTTCTTCTTCTTGCTCTCTGGCATGAGATCATCCAGGAAACTCAATTCTCTCTTAGAGAAACAAAAATCCATCACCCTCCGGACAAAAACGAGAGCCAAAACCTTCAGGAGGAAGAAGAAAGACGACGAGATGAAGCCAAAGTGGATGTTCTAATCTCTTGGCCAAAGCTCCCAAGGCCAAATTCCACCAGCAGCTCTCACCATCATGGGGAAGATGATGGCAGCACGGGAGGCCTTGATGGCCCAGAGCAGGACGAGGCAGAGGAGCTGGATGAGGGTGAAGAAGTGCACCTTGCGCAGGGGCACATGGCGCAGGTAGATGAAGTCAGGTTGGTGCTTGGTTGGCATCCAGAACAGCTTCAGGCGGTCAAAGAACTGCGGGAGAAAGGAGAAACCAGGACACCTTCAGAGCAGCACAGAGGTTTGAGGGTTGGGATGGAGCTTGGAGAACATCTAGTGCCAACCTCCTGCCCTGTGCAGGGATATCTCCAGTCAGAGGAGGTTGGGCAAGGCTTGGGACAACTGGAATGGACATGATAGGGCTGGGGTGTCTACAGGTTCTTCCTGGGGCATCCAAAACCTCCCTGGGGCATCCACCACCTCCCTGGACAACCTGTGCTGGTGTCTGTAGACCTTTCCCCCCCCTCAAGGGCAGGACCAACCCTTGGCCTCATTGACCCTCCTGCAATGTCCTCAGCTCATGGATGAGTCTCTCCAGGTCTGCAGACCTTTCCTACCCTCAGGCAGATCAACATCATCATCTCCTGCTTTCAGAGCCTCTTTCTCCACTTCCCACTGCCCCCAAGGAGAAGAAATCCCATGGGAGACGCGTACCTGGATCCCTCGGAGCGAGGACACTCCCATGTAGAGGAAGACGCCGTAGAGCACTGGCATGGGGATGAACTGAAATGACAGGCACAGCAATTAACACCTCCTAATTGTCTTCTCCATGCTCCATCCCTCTCCACCAGCCACTGCCAGAAAGCTTTCCAAGCCATGGGTGGACCTGAGGGACACTTGGGGTTGAAGGAGATGTCTTCTATGCTTGGTTTGAGGGCACCAAAGTGGGGTCTGAAGGCTTCTCCCACCATGGGATGGTGGGATGGAGGTCTGTCCCACTATGACATGGTGGGATGGGATGGTCTAGAGATTTGTCCCACCATGGGAAGGTGGGATAGGATGGTCTGAATGGGCTTTGCTGGAGCCCAAGCCATGGATGGACCTGAGGAACATCTAGGATTGACAGAAGGAGTTGCCTTCTATGCTTGGCTTGAGGGCACCAAAGTGAGCTCTGAAGGGCTTAGAAACTTGTCCCACACCTCAGGGTTTGGAGCCACCTCCTCATGCCTGGAGAGGAGGAACTCCTCTCTCCTCCCCTCCACAAACTTGGTGGTGGTGATGGTGCTTTGAAGCCTCTTACCTTGAGCACAGAGGTGAAGAAGACAGAGCAGCCCATGAGCACGAAGATCATGAGGCCAGTGACCCTCTGCTCCCGGATGCCCAAGAACTTGGGCTGCTCTCCTGGGGCTGAGCAGTCAGACTCCACCTTGAGGCTGTTGACGTGGGTGATGGACAACACCGTGGCGGCCACGAACCACGGCAGGCCCATCACGGAACACACACCCAACATCAGGGCCACCATGAACAGGTCCAGGTGGTACCCACAGCCCTTCTGCAAGGAGAACGAGGAGCATCAGAGCCACCAGGAACAGGTCCAGGTGGTCCCCACAAGGAACAAGAGCATCAGAACCACCATGGACAGGTCCAGGTACTCTAAGGGTCGTTTGCAGCTCCAAAAGGTTGTCCTCCCCTCCCTGCACCACCAGAACTCCAGGAGAACCTCCTGCCACGCAGCCTGAAGACACTCCAAACCTTCTCAAAGTGTTTGGAATGGGTGGGGACGCGGCGACCTCTTGCAGCTCCTTACCTTGAGTCGGTGCTCCTTCCTGTTGACAATCACAGCTGTGATCTGCTGGTCCATGAAGATCAGGATGGTGCAGAGCAGGGCTGGGATGAGAGCAGCCAACACTGTCCACCAAGGGTTGGGGCCTATGGGGTTGATCAGCCACCCACGGTCATCTCTGGTGGGCTGCAACACATCATGGTGACATCAGCTCCCAGTACAGACACCGCACTGGCTTGGAGCTCCTCTCCAGTTCTGGGCCAGAGCATCTCCTACACCTGGGGCAGAGCATCTCCCAACCCTGGCTTGGTGTTCTCCTGGGTCAGAGCATCTCCTAGACCTGGGTCAGAACACCTCCCAGCCCTGATCTGGTGTCACTCCATCCCATGGAGTTCAGCAGCTCCAGACTCTTCTCTCCCAGTGTCTAGTTTTGGGACTGACCTCCCATTTCCAGGAGGAAACAAAGCCCTTGAAGGTGGAAGAGGAGACACTCACCCCATTTCTGCTCCCTGTCCTGCCCCAAGATCCCCTGGTGGCACCTGAGGTGCTACAACTCACCCACCACCACTACCACCACCAGCACCAGCACCACCACCAGCACCAGCACATGGTACCTTGAAGACATGAGGGACATGGAGCTTGGGAGAAGGAATCCCAATCATCAGGTCGATGAGCACCATGATGACGATGGTGAGGAAAACAGCAAAGTCACTCACTGTGGCTCGAACCTGAGGGGAGAAAACAAAGCTGAGGGAGACCAAGGCAGGAGATGGACAATTTGGGACCATTCCCAACATCTGGGCTCCTTAATGGGTCAAAAAATGGGAATAAGGCACTGAGGGATCACTTGGTCCTCAGAAGGGCAAAATAGTCCATGTTTCCGTGGTAAGTCCTCAGGGGAATCAACTTTCCACTGGAGCACATGGAGAACAGAAGGGGAAGGAAAGAAGTCATGGTGGAAGAGTTGATCAAGGTCAACATTGCCAACTTGGCCATGAAGGTCAATGTTTCCAGCTTGGCCACCAAGGTCAATGTGTCTAAGCTTGACCATCAAGGTCAACCTTTCCCAACTTGCCCAAGTGGTGGCAAACCCTCCAGTGCTCCAGGGCTGTAATTCTGGGAGAGGAGCATGGGAAGTGCCACTGACCACCACCTTCTACCTACTCTGGTTGGGAAGTACCGGCTGGTTTTGAACTTCTTCAACAAGCTGGACAGGATAAAGGTGGAGAAGAAGAGGATGCAGCACCAGAAGAGGACATTGGGTGTGTAGGGACCATTGTGTCCACAGGCAGGTCCTTGGAACTCTCCATGCAAGGAGCGACATTCCTGGAGAAACAGAGGGTCAGGACGCAAAGGAAAACTGGGATCACTGGGAGGGGGTTGAGGGTCTTGGTGTAGGAGAGGTTAGAATTGGTTCCACTGCCTTCAGGTGTGAACTTCAGTCCTCCAACTGCTACAAGGATCAAAACAGCCACTTGACCTTCATCATGGTCTCATAACCAGATGGAGGGGGACAGTTCTTAGCCATGAGGGTGGACACCAGGTGGGATGGACACCAGGTGGGATGGACACCAGGTGGGATGGACACCAGGTGGACTCTCCTTCCCAGCACCAGGCAGATTAAACCCCCTGATGAGACACCAGCAGGTTCTCCTCAGAGCACAGTTGGACATCCACCACCCCCTGCAGGACCTGACTTCGGCACCTGTGGCTGCCCCTGGTGCCCCTCGGCCATGGCACCAGGAGGAACCTGTGGCTCAGAGCACTTACAGTCACCGTGAGGTTCCCCCAGGGGATTCCAGCCACGTCGATCCTGTTGCTCTGCCAGAACCTCAAGGTCTCGTTGCTGGGATGAGTTGGTGCCTCACACTTACAACTGGCAGGAGACAAAACAGGAGTGAGGGAAGAGGAAGCCCTGAGATACCTCCTGAGGTGGGTTGGGAGGAGAAGACCCACTAGTATATGGTGAGGAGGTCAAGTTTGCTGTGCATGTGGATGGGGTAGGTCTCTCTCAGGTGGCTCAGCTTCTCCAGAGCTTCGTAGATGAAGATGATGCAGATGAGGGAGGCGAAGGCTTCCTCGGTGAAGCGAGTGATGTAGCACACCAAGCTGCTGGCGTCGGTGGCCACCAGCACCACGCAAAAGAAGGCTGTCCACAGCCCAATGCAGGTCCTCAGGGAGAGATAGGAGAGGGTGTATTCCCTGGAAAACCACAGGAGAGCTCGAGGTGGGAAGAGCTGAGGAGCTCTGGGGTCAGGTCTTCCTCTCATCGGGAGCGTGTGGAGGTTGCGGGTGGTGGAGGAGGTGTCCATGTGCCTCAGGGATGCTCATGGAGGAGCAGCAGCTCAACAAAGGCCACATGGAGCTACCCAGAGGAGAGGGGAGATGTGGTGGGACATCCTCCCATGGCGCATCCTCAGGAAAACTGGGATAGGGTTGAGGGTCTTGGTGCAAGAGAGGTTAGAAATGGTTCCACTGCCACCTGGGACCACCCAGAGGAGAGGGGAGATGTGGTGGGACATGACACCACAGCCCCATGGAGAAGAGACATTATCCAGGGAAAAATAAAGCTCCTCCTTGTCCAATGAAGTCCTCAAACCTCAAAACATTTTGGCTGAAAACCATTCCAGGAAGTCACCAAAACTCAGGATATTCCCACAAAAAAACTCTGTGGATGTTTGTGCCACACTAATTTCCACTTCCACCAAAATTCAGGGTAAGATAGTTCCCAGTTTTTGTCCTCAGGAGGAAAATGAATCCTCCCTCAATCCCAAATCCTCCTCTTCCTAGAAGCCTCCACAGCCTTGTGGCTTCTCCTCCTCCAACTGCCTCATTTGAACCCCAAATATCCCCAAACCCAAGAGCTCTTGGACATTCAATGCTAGACATGACCTCCATCTACCAACTCCCCCTGAGAAGAAACACATTTTTCCCTCAAAAAAACTAGGAGAAAACCACATTTTCTCAAGGAAAAAAAAAGTAGAGGAGGAACATCTTACTTGCAGAACTTGTAGAGGATCTTCTCGAAGACGAGGACAGGTCCAGTGCTGCCAAGGATGGTGAGAGGTTGTCCAGCAAAGAGGGAATACACCACTCCGGTCATGGATGCTCCCAGCAGCGACTCCATGGCACTCTGGGATGGGGACAGAGGCAGCAGGAGGGAAGGAATCGTCAGGGATGAAAGGAACCCCAAAAACCCAAAGGGAATCACCACAGGAAGGAGAGGTCACAGAATCGTGGGGTGGGTGGGAAGAGAGGGAATGGGATGGGGAGGAAGGGAATGGGTTGGATGGGAAGGGAATGGGATAGGGCAAGAGGGAATAGGTTGGATGGGAAGGGAATGGGATGGGGCAGGAGGGAATGGGTTGGATGGGAAGGGAATGGGATGGGGCGGGAGGGAATGGGTTGGATGGGAAGGGAATGGGATGGGGCGGGAGGGAATGGGTTGGATGGGAAGGGAATGGGATGGGGCGGGAGGGAATGGGTTGGATGGGAAGGGAATGGGATGGGGCGGGAGGGAATGGGTTGGATGGGAAGGGAATGGGATGGGGCGGGAGGGAATGGGTTGGATGGGAAGGGAATGGGATGGGGCGGGAGGGAATGGGTTGGATGGGAAGGGAATGGGATGGGGCGGGAGGGAATGGGTTGGATGGGAAGGGAATGGGATGGGGCGGGAGGGAATGGGTTGGATGGGAAGGGAATGGGATGGGGCGGGAGGGAATGGGTTGGATGGGAAGGGAATGGGATGGGGCGGGAGGGAATGGGTTGGATGGGAAGGGAATGGGATGGGGCGGGAGGGAATGGGTTGGATGGGAAGGGAATGGGATGGGGCGGGAGGGAATGGGTTGGATGGGAAGGGAATGGGATGGGGCGGGAGGGAATGGGTTGGATGGGAAGGGAATGGGATGGGGCGGGAGGGAATGGGTTGGATGGGAAGGGAATGGGATGGGGCGGGAGGGAATGGGTTGGATGGGAAGGGAATGGGATGGGGCGGGAGGGAATGGGTTGGATGGGAAGGGAATGGGAGGGAATGGATTGGGGGGGAGGGAATGGGATGGGTGAGTGGTTTGGGGTGGAAGGGAATGGATTGGGGTCAAAGGGAGTGGTTTGGGTTTGATGGAGATGGGTTGGGGTGGATATGAAGTGGTTTGGCTTGGATGGAGATGGACTGAGTTGGTTGGAGATGGACTGAGATGGACTGAGTTGGTTGGAGATGGACTGAGTTGGTTGGAGATGGACTGAGTTGGTTGGAGATGGACTGAGTTGGCTGGAGATGGGTTGAGCTGGAAGGGAACTCTCTGTGCCCAACCCCAGAACCATGGACAGAGACACATCCCCCAGCCCTGGTGGTTGATTCTGGAGGACCTTCCCCCCCAGACCCCAGGAGCTCACGATGTGGCCGTGGGTTGCCTCCCCCAGCAGCCCCCCGAAGGTGATGACCGGGGACATGCAGGCACAGTAGAGGAAGAGGAAGGAGGCCAAACACTGCAGGCTCAGCCCATCCCGGAAGTCGCTCCAGAACCAAGGAACTTTCCTCTTCACGTCCAGGACCAACCCCCCGAAGAGCCTGGGAGGGAGGAGAAGTGTCTGCTCCCCGGGAAGAGCACTCCACGCAGGACACACCTGCACCTGGAGGTGGTCACACTCCTGGGGATGGTGGTGCTGTGCCTCAGATCTCACCTGTCCTCAACTCTCGTCTGCTCACATGTCCCACCTGCCCAGGTCTTCCCCTGCCCACACCTTCTATTTGTCCACATCTCCCACCTCCCTAGCCCTCCCACCCGTCCTCATCTCCCTCCTGCCCAGGTCTCCCTCCTGTCCTCCCACCTGTCCAGATTCCCACCTGCCCAGGTCTCCCTCCTCTCCTCATCTCCCATCCATCCACATCTCCCATCTCCCCAGATCTCCCACCCATCCACATCTCCCCCCATCCCTGGTGCCCCAGGTGTGAAGGTGGAGTCCCTTCACCAGCCCAGGTAAGCCCAGACCCTCCTGGAAGGGAAGGTGAGGAGCAGAACGACCCCAGACCCCGAGTTGTCCCACCTGCCCGTGCGCTCCAGCTCTGGACCACTGTGCTTCTCCGGCTTGCTGTGTGAGGAACTGTCATCCAGAGCTCCTGGCATCTTCCTCTTCTCCTGCTCACATGGAACTCAGCTGCAAACACCTGCCTGGAACCTCCAACTCGCTCTGGGCCGGGATGGAACCGGCAGGAATTTGGGATGTTTCCCTGTCCATCCTCTCCCTCAGGACCCACCTGTGATGGGACGTTCTTGGGGGGCTCAATCCTGATGGAAGGATCCCACTCTCCTGGGGGCAAAACCGTGACCTGATCCAGGAACTCGTCGATTCCAGCCACGAGGTCAGTCCTGTTCTTGGCTTTGTAGGCAACATCGTGGAAAACCTGCCAAGAAGAGATCACCAGGGGAGAGGACAATCCACCTCAAGGGTTCTCAGCAGGGCAATTAGCTCTGGGCTCAAGGGGAGATGGTTTTCCCCAAGTCTCCTGCTGGAAGTGGCAGGAAAAATCCACCCAAAAGGAAAACTTTGGGCATTGTGGGCCTTGTAATCAGCTCCTCCATGAGGTTCCTGTCCCTCATGGTCTTAAAGAGGAGAAGTTCTACTGCTCCTGGCAATGGGATGGTGTCACCACTGGGGACAATGTGTGGAGGACCTTGGGGGGCAGGATGAGGAGCAGGATGAGTCCCAGGAGTTATTCCAGCCCCCAGGAAGAGGTGAAGAACCCCCCAAACCACCTAGAGATGTCTCTCCTCTCTTCCCACCTCATCAGTCATGATAGTAGCCATGGACCTGCCAATCTCGTGGTACTGATGAGCTTTTCCTCCTGGTCCAAGCAAAACAAAGAGGAACCTGAGTAAGGAAAACCGAAGTGAGGATCTGTCCTTGCTCCAAGAGCACCCAAGGAAAGCCCCGGGAGCTCCAAAGTGGACATGGAGGTTCCTCAACTCCTCCATGGGTTGAATCACTTCCCCAAACCATCACAAACATCATTTTGGGACCAACTTCATTCAAAATGGTCAATGGGTTTGGAAGACCCAAGAGGGAAAGGAAGGAAGGTGAAAAGGGGAGGAAGGTGAGGAGTAGAGGAGGAGGCAGGTAAGGAGCAGAGAAAGAGGAAGGTGAGGAACACAGAGAGAACATGCAGCTCCCACTCATCTTGACCCCTCAAACTTGTGGAGCAGTTTGAGGTGATTTCAGGGTGTTCTCAAGCCCAAACTTGGTCCTTCTCCTGCAGACCTGGTTGGGATGGGAACCTCGGTCATTCCTGGAAGCAGCACGGCCGGAGTCAGGCGCACAAAGGTCACCAGGGGCTGCTGAAGGAACTCCAACTCTCCTACCAACACATTGGAGGCTTCAGCTCCACTGGGAATCTTCTTCATGAAGTGCAGCTCAGCCTGGACAAGGTGATTCCCCCCAAAAAAATGAAGCTCAGAACAACCTCCAGGTAAGTTTGGAAGAGCTAAGCAGGTGCCAGAGGGGAAGGAAGGTCTCACCTTGCTCAGGTCCATGGCGCTGGGCTCGGGGTTCACCCCGTTCTTGGCTTCGGCAGCGGTGGGAGAAGGGTGAGGGGTGAGGGTTTGGGCTGGGGGAGAGAGGAGGACACTCAGAAAGGTGGGAGAGGAGGAACTGGGGTGTTTCTGCTCTGCCAGGAGGAGAAAAATGCGGCCAAAGCCTTCCAGAAACCTTCACCCAGTGTCCAACCCTACCTGACCCTCAACTCATGCCCAACCCTCCTTGACCCTCACTTGGTGCCCAACCCTTCCATCCTCTGCCCTGTTGCCCAGCCCTCCCAGTCCTGACCTGGCTTGTCGAGGAGGTGCAGGTCCAACTGCTTCTTGCTGCCATCGGCAAAGGAACGCACGATGGGCAGGAGGTTGTTCCTCTTCTTCTCGTTCTGGTGGTGATGCTTCTTGAGCAGCACCTCCCTCACCTTGGCCCTCGTGCGCTCCTCGAACTCTGGGCACAGCTCCTGCTGGCCCAGGATCAGGTCTAGGGGACAGAGGGAAGTGAGGACCCAAATCTTGGGAGCTGAGGCCAAACGAATGGGTAGAAAGGGCTTGGAATGAGGAGTTTGGTGGCTGAGCTTCAGCTCTCGGGTAGAGAGTCAAAGAACCTGAAATCCTCCTCCGTGGCCACAGAATGATCCTGATTTTAACCACAGAGTAGTCCCTTTTTAGCCCCAGAATATCCTGTTTTTAGCCACAGAATATCCCATTTTTAGGTCCTAGAATATTCCCTTGTTTGGCCATGGAATATTCCCTATTTTAACCACAGATTATTCCCTTATTTGGCCCCAGAATATCCCATTTTTTAGCAACAGAATATCCCTTTTTTAGCCCCAGAATATTCCCCTTTTGGCCCCAGAATATCCCATTTTTTAGCAACAGAATATCCCTTTTTTAGCCCCAGAATATTCCCCTTTTGGCCCCAGAATATCCCATTTTTTACCCCCAGAATATTCCCCTTTTGGCCCCAGAATATTTCCATTTTCCCCTGGATCATCCCCCCAGCACCTGCGAGGTCCTCGATGCTGCTGGCGCTGACATCCAGCAGCACATTCCCATTGGTGATGCAGCTCCGGAGCTCGAAGAGGCTGTGCAAGGACAACGTGGCCACGTAGGGTTTGCTCCATCTCTCCCCACCATCCTCCACGTCCTCCTCGAACTTCAGCCACCTGCAGATTCAGGGCAGGATCATTGGCAGGAAACACCTCCAAGCCTGGAATCCATGGGATGGAGCCAAGGGTTGGGAGGAGGAGGAGGTTCCTGCAGCTGGAAGAGCTTTGGAGCCAGAAAGGAGGAACTCCTCTCCCACCATGGTCA